CTGCTGAATGGAAAACAACTGAAAGAATGTTAATCACTTCACGACAGAAGAACTCGTAACAAAAACTCAAGAATAAAATGTGTAAAAATCCGGTGTAAATCAGGATTGGAAGGGAGTCAATCCCATTCTGATATTTAAAAAAAGAATCTAAATCATCAGTACAAAATTAACCAGTGAGTTTGACTATTGAGTCAATTATAAGGGATCAATTATTATTACATATTGAAAATAATCATTTTTAGTTAATTTCCAGAATGGTCTTAGGCCTCTGGTTTTTCTACATCTTTGTTATTGCAAGTTGTTAATGATTGGACACAGCTTTTAGATAAAGGAGAATCCATAGATGTGATATATTTTGACGTTAAAAAAACATTCGACATTGTCCCTTTAAAACGTCTGTTATATAAAATCGACCAATCTGTCAATCAATGGATTTGTAAGGCGCTCATGTTGTATGGTATTCAGGGAAAGGTCTTTAATTGGATTTGACAATTATCCAACAGATAATAAGTCAATTGACAATTTTACTCTTAATAGAGTAAATTTCAGAATATAATATTAATTTTCCTTATAAGAAAAGAAATAATTATATTAATCAATATTGTACCTGATTTTGTTAACATTTGTTTTTATACTCCGGGCCGTTGGCCTATGTATTTGAGTAAATGCCCTAGACATTTAGTCCGACGTTCAGCAAACTATGGTCCGCGGCCCAAATTTGGGCCGCGAAACATTTTTTGGAGGGCCGGGAAACCGTCTGGAAAATGAAAAAAAAAAAATAACAAATAGAATTTCATAATGGAGAAAATAGTTTTTAATAAAGCCGCTTCATTGTTACAGCGAATGCGTCGCTTGCACACGATGCTAAAGTGCCAGATGATGTGTGTTATTTGAGTTATAAGCGGTTTTTGTGTCTATGCCCCCTCGGGAGCCTTTATCTGTATATTTATTCCAGTTATTTCTAGTATACAGCATTATTTTCTATAAAAATAAATATACTGTAAATATACCTTTTTAAGCATTAAATGCATGTCAAGCGCGGATCCAGAGTTTACCCTGGCTATCGCACAGATGGGTTCCAATATTGGGAGGGTCATGAGAAGAGATTGTCGCTGGACAAGATATTCGAAAAGTTTTTGCATTCTAGATGCTTTGAAATACACTTCATGCATTATAAGACGTCTATTATTGAATATACTCGGAATTCATAGTTTTTCCCTACTTTGCTATGAAAATTAATAATTATGATGATGAAGAAGATGATGATGAGGAGGAGGAAGCTCTGCAAGATTAATTAACAGGCTCTTTGATGTGAAGTGTAAAGCGAGGCCCGTTGCCTAAGTTAAGGTTAAGAATATTCCTTCTAAATTCGAGCTCAATTTTGCTGTTTTTAAAGTTTGACCCCAATGACCCCTATGTAACCCCTGATCCCAGACTGGGGTATAAGAGGTGTCACTGGTTCTTAATGATCAAATTTGATTGAATTTCTTTCAATCGTTTGCCAATAGAAACATTTTTAACCTTTGACCTATGAACTTTGACCTATGAGGGGAAGAGTATTTTTTCGTGTTCAGAAGGTCCTAATGATCATTCCTGGTAAATTTGAGCCAAATTGGGTTATTTTGAAAATTTAACCCCGATGACCCCTGTGACCCCTGATCCCAGACTGGGGTGTAGGTGGTTTTGGTTCTTAATGACCAAATTTAATTGAGATTGGTCTAATCGTTTGCCATTATTAGCATTTTGAAATTTTACCAGATAGAACAAAATAATAACCGTTTAATGACCTTTGACCCTAAATCGCTAAACACTATAGAGACCCTACCTTATGCCAATACACATGTGCCCAGTACAAGACTGTGTATGTTATTTGTGACAGAAAAAGTCTTTTATTCATTTTATAAAAGGTTTTTTACCCTAATGAACCCTATGTCACCTTTGACCCCAAGCAGTGAACACCCCAAGTCGCAGAACATCACGCTAATACACAAAGACCTACATTGGCATTTAGTTCGACAGCGTATCAACTTAAAAATTCTTCTTCGTTTATACAATTCGCTCCACAACCTATCACCCACGTACATGCAAGATCTTCTCAGACTACGCTCATCCACTTGTTCCCGAGCACTCAGATCAACTACAAGTTCATCAACTTAGTTTTTTCCTAGGTGCCGTTCGAAAACATATGGTGAGAGATCATTTCGTGTTGCGGCTCCAAAAATGTGGAATGCACTTCCCGTTGAAGTCCGTGAATCTGCGTCAATTGACATCTTCAAGAAGCGACTCAAAACTTTTTTATTTGCCTCTTTATAGCTACATTTTACTTCTTTTTTTCTATTTCTCTGTTTCACCTCGCTAGCTAGCGTTGTTTGTTCCAGGTTAGGAGGCACCTAATCTAAGAAAAAATCAAGACTTAACCGATGCTAACCGGAGTGCATAAACACAGATCTCCGGTTGGCGGTGATGGTGTAACCCCATACTTCGGTTTTGGTGCTAGCTTGGTGTTTATTGTTTTGTTTTTTGGGGTTTTTTTCGGCATTTTCTTTGTTTTTTTTAACTTCAATATTGTCAAGCGCATAGAGACCTCGTTTATTTGCGCTATATAAATCCATCTATTATTATTATTATTATTATTATTATTATTATTATTATTATTATTATTATTATTATTATTATGAGAGGTGTCACCGGTTATACTGACCAGGTTTAGTTGAAATCGGCACAACCGTTTGGCACTAGTAGCGTTTTGAAGTGTTACCAGAAAAAAGATAAAAAATTACCCCTTAATGCTCTTTGACCCCTCATCCCTGAACACCCTATAGACCGTGGCTTATGCCAATGTATATGTGCAAAGGACAAGACTGTGCTACGTTATTTGTGAGAGAAGTAGTCTTCTATACGATTTTTGGTTTTTTGACCCCAATTCCCCTTATGTGACATTTGACTCCAAGTAGTGAATAACACATAAATGGGAGGTGGCACTGGTCCTGCTGACTAGGTTTTAATAAAATCGGTCCAGTAGTTTGCTACTAGGAGCCTTTTAAAATGTTGCCAAAAAGTAGGAAAGAATTAACCTGCTCAGAAACAGAACCCAGTCAGCATGCTGACTGGGTAATATGTAAACAAGAAATATTTCCTATAAAAATACGCCGCAACTTCTGTAGCTTATTCAATTTGTGTATACAGCTACTTCCAAATTTATAATATGTGTACATTTTGTTATCGTATTTAAGTTAGCTCTTTCAATAAAATAAATCTCTAACTGTATTTTCCTATAGAGCAATAAATGTTGAGTTTACAATATTGAAAGTATATATACTGTCTCTTATACACATCTAGATGTGTATAAGAGACAGGTACCTGAGTAGGTATCTCGGAATCTCGGAATAAATTTAAACAATTTCTTTATTTGGAAGTAGCAGGCGTGTTCCTGATAGTTGTGGTGTAGATTGAAATGTATCACTGCACAAAACATTCCATATGATCCCAAACTTATATTCACAAATACACACTTATACATATATATTTATAATGTAATAATTATTTGCTAATACCTGTTAATGTTTTTAAACATATTGACAATGGCAACTATCATAGTGCTTATGTACTGGTATATTTTGCTGAACAATAAACATGTTTGAGAAACATTGACGAACATCAATTAATATCCATGTGAGATCTTTTATACCTTTATGTTTCTTAATAATTGGAACAATACTCTTATCTTTAAATTCCTAAATTAATTTAAAACTTAACAAAAATACATTACAGGTATCCATGCTTTTGTTATATCAACCCCAATTTGTCTGGGTTGTAATCCCATATGGTAGATTAATTAAGCTGTCACCTAGACTCAAGGCTCGACCACGTTCATAACCTTCATAGGCTTCATCATCAGCTATTATCGGTCCTCTGCTGGACAAATGTTTCAGGATGTCGACGCGAAATCAATATTTTTCTCTTACAGTGTTGCACCATTTCACTACTCTTCACCAATAAATGCTCATCTCTTAATCTAGTTTACGTTGTTCTTTTCCTTGTTCGTTCTGCAATCCATAGGGTCTGTTACTGTTTGTTGTTTGTACTCCTGCTGCCTACAAGTTCAACAACCAGAATGAAAACAACTAAGCCAAACCACATTTTATCATTATTGTTATTAATATTAATAATAGTAATAATAATAATAATTCTAATATTATTTTATTTATTTGTATTCATTCCCCTCCGCCACTATAGCTTGGCTAGGCCTTTCTACTACTGCCGCCAGTGTGTGGCTATTTTATGGGTTGATAAAACATGAGTAAACTATGATATCTCGATAATAGCTAGCCTAATCCTAACCCTCTTCAGCGTAAGGCACGTATTTTTCGACATTAAATGTGGAATACCCTGGCTCTACTACTTGGCTAGTAGTAGTAGTGGTAGTAGTAGTAGTAGTAGTAGTAGTAGTAGTAGTAGTAGTAGTAGTAGTAGGCCTAGTCCCTAGATTGTGTCATCAGTTTCTATGGTTATTTTTTATGGCATTGTCAATGCATAGGTCTACGTACGTAGGTACGATGATAGAGCCTAATATACATTTTTTGCGATAATTTAATTACAATTCCCACTGACGAACACTGATGAACTGGCTGTAAAGATAGCCAAAATAGAGGTTTACGACCCGCTCGAGTTCTCATTATATTCCATCTATATATAGTTTTCCCGTTTCTATTTCATACCCTCTTCACAGCCGCTATTTGGTTCTTTAAAAAAGACGTCTTAACAGCCGCTTTTGGTTACTGAGACATCTTTTTGGTAACTGCGCATGCTCGACATGGCTTGATAACGTCACTTACTTCCAAACGCATGCTCATAGTGGTTTTTTTTTTTGAATAATTCACCGACGTTATTTTGGTAACTGGGCATGCGCATTGCTTAGTTCGGAATTTCCATTTCTTCGTAGTAAAAGTTACCGCTACTTACAGTTTCTCAATGACTATTTTCTCTTGATCTTTACAGCCTAAAGGTGCGGCGCGAAAACATCTACACTAAATCAAAATGGAATATTCACTGCCTGTTGGATCCCAGTTTTAGTATTGCAGGGGTTGTTCTGAAGGCTTTACAGTATAACCAATCCCTGTATTTCTGATAGATCGCTGATTAAAATGTAAAATATTCAACATTATATTCAGTACATTCTCAAATGTTATGTAAATCTCATAGGCCTATATCCTAAAATTATGTTATATTCATGCACCGAAGTAGAAAGTTTAACTTAATAATTTTGATATGTTTTATGTTGAATGGTTTTTAATGATAGTTAAGGAAGTCCTCTCCTTTAAACTTCTAACCTACTAAACTTTGCGTATCTCAATATACATAAGCATATATATTTCCTTAAATCAAGAAAGTCCACTCGTTAAATTATTATATATAGTATAGAGAATTTTGTCTGTCAATCTCAGATATCCAAATTTTAGGAAATTACGTTTTATGCATGCATGAGAACTTTAACCTAATGACTTTGATATGTAGGCCTATATGTTTGATGTTGTTTGTTGAATGGACTTCTTTAATAATAATTTTACAGTGTAATATGACCACAACATAAGGAAGTCCACTCTGTAAATGTTTAGCGCATAATTGTACAGAGAATTTCGATGGTTATCAATATCATCATGTTAGATCCAAATCACTTTTTTATGCAAGCACCGACGAGGAAAAGATTAAACATAATCTTATCATCCCCTATATAACGTAGTGGCGAATGTGGAAAAATCGATTTTTTTTTTATTTGTGAATTTAAGTTGTCTTACTGTGTAGAATCTCTGAAAAAATTGAGTCAATTAGATAAGTAATTAAGGAAGAATATTAATTAGCAAACTGACGAATATCACTATATCAATCGATTTGTTTACTGCAAACCGGCGAATGTATCATTTTTCACGCACTACGTATATCTCACGTGGCTTTCTCCTTAAACAGCAGTGCGTGCAAGCATAAATAATAAGCGTATATCTTCATGAGTGGATTTTCCGTACGATTTAAATCGAATCGGTACTGAGTTTGGTCAAGTTTGGTCTACAGGAGGAGAACATGCTTCGTACAGGTCATACGTTAAGACATTACCTATACTATTAAATTATTTGTAATAAGAAACTTAAACGAATCTTTTGTACATAAATTAATTGATTTCCATAAATCATTATGAATCATTTTAATCATTATTGTTACTGTTATTTTTATTTTTGAATACAGAGGATTTAACATGAAACGATTTGTTTCCGTATTAATTGTTATTTACTCGTAAAATACAATAATGAGCCATTATCATTATTATATAATTTTCGGTACAATTCTGAGCCGCTCCCGATCTTTTTGCTTTTATTCTTTCTGACTGTATCCTTTATTAAAACATGTTTAACACTAACAGTATATTTACCTTATCATTATGCCTCAAACCCGACCAATAAATATACTATATGATCATTTGTTGTACATTTAAGATGTTTTATATATAAAACATTCATATTATGTTATAGTCTATATACAACCAATAAACAGTTCTATTTAAGACGTAAACATAGTATTCTTATTTTAAAAATGTTTTATAATATAAATATAAAAATACATTTCAAATTATATATAATATACATTAACTAAGTAAAACAATAATTAAAATGTGGACATAATATTTACCCTTTAGCGCAACCCCTGGACCAAACCCAGTACCGTTTCGATTTATATCGTCAGGAAATCCACTCAAAATGCAAATTTATCGGAGCTTCGGAGAGCCTTTCCCCACACCCTCACCAGAGTTCTGCCCCTGCACCCCCAGGGATCCCAAGATGGCCCAAGTCCCTTGGCCTAAGATTTCATAAAAAAGAAGGTATGCTAATAAAAATTACTATTTTAAAAAATCTTTAAATGCGTTTTTCTTTTCCACATTCGCCACTACGTTATATAAGGTACGATTTCATGAGGTCCAGTATGCGAAGTGAGCATCTAGGGTGGGGAGGATGGGAATCCCCCTGGAAGCTACGGATATTTGACGAAGTTTGATGATTTTTAGTAGTTATTTTATATGCATCAAGCTACTGTACTGTAATATGCCATTGTTGTCATTTCCAGTGGCGGATCCAGGAATTCGATATAGAGGGGGCCCAGTGAAAGAATACTTATAGATGGAGGATAGCCCCAACCATGGTGGGGCTGACGTAAGAAAATTTGTGATTAGGGCACCTCTAGATGACTTAAAATTTCCATATAGTTTTCTTTATATCTCCATTAAAAAATATTTGAACAACTTAGCCCCACCCCCCTGAATCCGCCACTTATTTCCGAACAAAGTCGAAGTCGAGATTGCTTCCACGATCTCAATGAATTATTTATCATGAGGGGTATCCTTCAAATAGGTAATCCCGACGAAACCTTCACTTTTCCCCAGATGGATAAAAATTACCATATAGTAGCAGGAAATGATACTCCAGCGGGTGCAGGAAGTCGAAGTACAGGTTACCCAGAGAGGGTCTTGTTCAAATGGAATGCCCGCCCACCTGAGGTAAGAAAACATTATGATTATGGCATCTCTAGGTTGAATACAATTTTGTATGTTTTCTCCATTTTTTTTTTTAAATAATTTTGAAAAAAAATTAGGAGGTTGGTGCCAGTTCTGACTTGAATTCGCCACTGCTCAATATAACACTTGACATAGCTTATAATTTTTTCACAAATGACAAATTCCTAATGTCAAGCGAAAGATTTTTTTATTCAATACAGTTTATACAACCTAACACATTAACTACAGTGTACTGTAACTCTGTAGTTAACCTTCAGAGAACTTTATTTTAAAAAATGACTTAATTAAGTAATTAAGTATTGAGTTTTAAGTAATTTTTCAAAAGAAGCAACAGAAGAACAGTTTAATAATGTGTGCAGGGAGTGAATTCTAAAGTGTGGTGCGGCAAAGTAAAACGATTTATGGCCAATCTCTGGCTAGTTTGAAAGGTTTATTGCAGGCCAATCAGTAACACTGACTGTACATCTTCATGGTTAGCATAAAGAGAAATAGAGCGTCGCTCCATAAAGAGTGCCACCCCCCACCCCATATGCCTAAATACCGAATTCACGAAGGCGGGCGATCCCATTCTTTTTTCTTCATGCTAGAGGGTGGATTTCAAGGAAACTTTACAGACGCCTGTATACAAACGTAAATCAACATTTGGTTGCTCAACTCAAAAAGGGTTAGAAAAAAAATCTATATTTCATAATAATATTGATAGGTCAATTTATAAGGCGCAAATAAACAAGGTCTCTAAGCACCAAATAAAAAATAATAATAATAATAATAAATAATAATAATAATAATAATACTAATAATAATGACATTTCAGCGTTTGTAAAATGTTTGTCACTGGTGCTGGGGACAGACACAAAAAAAAGTTGGGGGGGGGGGTTGGGGCAGACCCCCAGTAGTTTGGTTGCTCAACTCAAAAAGGGTTAGAAAAAAAATCTATATTTCATAATAATATTAATAGGTCAATTTATAAGGCGCAAATAAACAAGGTCTCTAAGGACCAAATAAAAAAATTAATAATAATAATAATAATAATAATAATAATAATAATAATAATAATAATAAGTTGCGGCGTATTTTTATAGGAAATATTTCTTGTTTACATATTACCCAGTCAGCATGCTGACTGGGTTCTGTTTCTGAGCAGGTTAATTCTTTCCTACTTTTTGGCAACATTTTAAAAGGCTCCTAGTAGCAAACTACTGGACCGATTTTATTAAAACCTAGTCAGCAGGACCAGTGCCACCTCCCATTTATGTGTTATTCACTACTTGGAGTCAAATGTCACATAAGGGGAATTGGGGTCAAAAAACTAAAAATCGTAATAATATAATTTATTAGGTCGACATGCCTTGCTACATGGAATTTATAAATTTATAATCTTGATACCAGATGTCAACATCCATAAAATAGCGGATGGGAATGTTAAAACCACGTAGGCCTAATCGCGTGCAATAGTTAATCCGGATCTGTAGATTAATTGGCTTCCTCTCCATAATCCATAATCCAACAACCCGTTTTGGTAAAGTGTTGTAAGGTATTAAATATTCAAGGTCCTTTTGAAATTTCACCTTTTTTGAAATGGTGGCAGATGGCAAACATCTTGAATTTCAAAATGGCCCAGGGGTTGCGCAAGCGGGGGGGGGGCGGCGGGGGCCAGGGTCCCTCGTCGGCGAGAGCTCCCCCCCCCCCGTCGAGGAGTAAAAGTACAATTCGTCGGGGAACATAAATGAGTTATATGTATTTTCTACATATCAGTACAGTATAAGATCGATTAAATAAAGCCTTTGAAACCCCTAAATTGAGGCATGTTGTGTCAAAATGGCTAAGTTGTAGCAAAAATTGAAATTCAAGTTATTGGTGTTTTCAGATACCTTAGTATGTGATCTTTGAAATGAGGGGTCATTCATTTAAATTGGACATTTCAAGCCTAAGTTATTGGAAAGTGAAAGTAGAGTACTCTTAGAGTCAACGTAAACAAGTAATTGCCTTTCAAAGTTATTTGAGCATACATTGTTTAATAGAATAACTATGAAAAATAAAGTTAAATAAACAATCTGTTAACCATTTCCCGAACTAATACTTTGGGACATGATTAATAAGACATTTAACTATTGATCTTTAGTAAAAAAAAAAAAAATTGGATTTTTAGGCAATTTTTTGAGTTCCCATATTTTATAGCTCATTTACTCAATACTGGACTGTGCAACAACTTAACCATTTCGCCACAACATGCCTCAATTGTCAAAGTTTTCGGGAGCTTCGCCCCTAGAAATTTCGTGCACTTGTTTTATCTAGAATTGATTACTGCAATTCATTGTACTCTGAGTTGATTGTAACAGATTTTCTGAAATTAGAGAAGTTGCAGAATTCTGCTGCACGTCTTATTTTTAACATCCGATCCTCTCTTACTCACACTTCACATCTTCTTCGTGAACTTCACTGGCTGACTTTTAAGCAAAGGGTTTATTTCAAATTAATGGTTCTTGCTTTCAAATCGCTGTCTGGCCTATGCCCACAATATATCTCTGACTTTTTACTTGTACGTAAAAAGCAAATTCGTACCAGATCAGCTTTGAATGTTAATTTCCATCAACCTATCTTTAACAAGCGTATTGGTAACAAATCTTTTTCGTGCGAGGCGCCACTCATCTGGAATAACCTTCCAGTGCACATTCGATCTTTATCATCTGTGGCTGTCTTTAGGTCTAACTTAAAGACTAACCTCTTTAACTAATTATCCCTTTTTTTCTTATTTATTGTTGCATTATTTATTCATGATTCCAAACTTTGCCACTGCTTCTTTTGATTTGTTTACTTCTTCTGTGCTTGGGTTAGGCAATGATCACGGCTGCTTGTGGTTTGTGAGGTGCCTAAATATGTGGGGTGCAGCGCTTAGTATCTGCAAAGAAAGGCTCTTTACAAATGTTCTGATTGGATTGGATTGGATAGGACCACTTTCGAAACATTTAATCGAAGCTCGACCACGCCCACTTCGCTTTCGTCGGGGAAATCTGACCCCTCGTCGGGGCATCGTCCCCTTCGTAGGGGACCTTGCCCCCACCCCGTCGGGCAAATACTGCCGCCACCCCGGAAATGGCAATCTATAAACCATAAAGGTGTCATAGAGTACTACCATGTTACGTCATACTACTCCGTTGCTATCGGCGACACAAAATGTGTTCAACCGGACGCCATTTCTCCACTTTTGATCCCAATTTCTAATGTAATTATTAAGATGTTGTATCTTAGTTTTTCTTTGTAAATTTTAATTGATGAATAAATGTGTGTTCGATAACTAATAAAATGCGAGCTTTTGTGTTTTTAGTCATTTTGTTAGGTTTTAAAATGCCTATTCCAGAAAGCCTATTCTACCATTAGGATTATGAATTCATTTAGGCGTAATGAACGGTAACCAACGTCTGGTTGCACAAAGTGCACCACCTGGTGTTTTGACGACACGACAGTCTGTTGTACTCTATATCTGGCCAAACACTACCATTAATATTGACTCTAATGATTAATATTTGCTTTAATAAAACATTAATTCTTCATAAATGACCGAAAATTCCATTTCTAACATTTGACCTCAGATACTTACATCATTCATATCTCCATAACTATTGGTCATACCAGAGAACAGAGAAATTACACTTTTCCCTGGTCATACTAACTTGATTTTTGTTTCAAACTGTTCATAGCATTCTATTCACTCCAATAAAACATTTTCACTTAAAATGACTGGCTAGTTTATTTCTCAACTTTGAACTCAGATATACATTGTTATCTTTATTTAAAAAAAGTTCTTTCGTAATAAAATATATTTGCAGCAAAATGCCGAATTTTAGTATTTTTCCTATAAAAGGAGAAAAACGAATTAGATAAAATCCAAAATGAATCAAATCGAAAGTTTGGAAAAAAGGGTGCAATATTGACTCTTTCTCACAATTTGATATTAAAAAGTTATAGACATCTCTCAGGCAGTGAGTCGTGGACATTCCTTTTTGATTTCTATATTGATGTTGATCAATAAAAGGGTTAATTGTATAAACCACAAACTCTGACATTCTTTTCTCAGCAATTTTAGCTAAAGTAGAGATATCTAGATCTGGGAGATTGATCTCAATTTGTTAATAGTATCTATTGGCCATGCTGGCTTGATTTTGGTTTTTCAGACCATAGATATTTCTACTTGCTTTAATAAAACATTTTTTTTTTAAATAACAGGAAATACTATTTCTGACCTTTGACCTTATTTACCTATTATATCCGTAGGGTAGGCCTACTGTTTAATAAAATATATTTGGTGTGATTCAGTGATGGCGCTAGGATCTTCCCGACAGTAGGGGAGGGGGCTAAAGGCCCCGACGGGCGGGGGAGCTAGGCGAGCAAAGAGAGCCTTATTCGGCTGTTGGAGGGGGGGGGCAGCCGGCTAGGTGCTACAGGGGGTCCAGCCCC